TGGGGCTCTAACCGGGCGGCTTCATATTGTTTGAACGGTCTCCTGCTACCACAGCTGCACTTGTTTGTTATGCAAATAATTCATGTGAGTAGCTGAAGGAAGTTCAACTGCTCCTGGTTTTATTTGATTTTAAAAGTCTGTTCTCGCTTTAGACTTTTGCACTTGAGGGCCCATCCAGCAGGACGACTCAAGCAGACGGATATTCAAAGCTCGGAAAGGAAGGTGGTAACTCATGATACTTAAGCTGTCTTCTAAAAATGTTCGGCACAGCGCTCCAAGCGTTTGGACAAGCTGTGTATTGGGTGTCCAGTATTGTCACCTACCGTTTTGTTGAAGCCAGTTTACTTGCTGCTGGTTTCCCGATTCGATGGTTGTAAGCAGCAGCGGCTGTTTCCATATCCGAGGATCATTGAAGTCCCAGGCTTTCCTGTCTCGCATCAGAATAGCACGCAGTTTGCCTTGTGATATTTTCAAGTCTCATTGTATTCGCTTTCAGCCGGAACACGACGGTGAGCATCCAGAAGCTCTAGAGACTGCGTAGAAACCGAAGGTCCATGTTGGCAATTTGTTTTGCCACCTGAAAACGTGCCTGCGGATAGCACTGTCTGACAGATGTGCGACCAGTGGTTTCCATCTTTGTTCTGTGAGTGTTGACAACTCCTGACGCCAGCACACTTTGATACGCATTCAGAAAACGTGGCTTTGACAGTTTGGTATCTATGCGCTCACAGCGTCGTTGCGGACGTCTGCGGAAACACATCTGCAAGTCGGTAGGTACAAATAAGTCGTCGGAGTCCTCGAACCTGCTCCAAATCGGGCAACAATGTTGGACACATCCTCTCCAGCGGTAACTAATCGCAATAGGATCGAATTGCACCCAAGCCTAATCCGATGCTGGTAGGCGCAAGGTCACTCTCTTGCGGGTGCTGTGTCGGAAGTTACTGCTCAAGATAAACAGACAAACATCTTTGCATAGGTGTAGCCCTCGCTCAGCATCAACCTTATGAGATCTTACATCCTGTTAATCGTCATGATGAAATTCATCAGTGGACAGTATTCTAATTTAAATGTTCAAGTCACCAGCTAGCACCCCGTTTTTCATATTTCTGCTGTGACGAATGAGCTCTTTAGTTGGTAATTGGAGACATCTTTGGCCGAGTCAGTGCTTTAAACGAGTCGACTATTTGAAAGGTGTACACCTGGCTGCTAACTGGTATTCAATACATCAGACTAGCTTTAGCTCAGGGGCTGAAAAAATTTCTCACACCGGTTTGACCGGCATTTAAAGCTACGTCATCTCTAAATAAACGCACTGTGCCGCACCTGAGGTATCACCTTTTAATCAACGAACTGCATCATTCCAAGCGTGTGTTTGAGAAACAGCAAATATCAATAAAAAGTCTTTACTGTTCGGGCAAGTGTCCTCTGTTCGCCAAGCTGGGAGAATATGCTCACCTTGAGGAATGCCAGTCTTATTAAGGTCCGACGGCTCCAAATAAAACTGATGAACTGACGTTATCTGCATGTTTGAACCGGACGTGTCGACTGGAATTGAGAGGCGCCGTGTGCTTGTATGTGATCGAAAACTAGCAAACAAACACCTGTTAAAGCAAGGTGGCAGTGAGCCATAATTTTAAGGGTTGAAAACAGGGGATAAAAGGGAGGTTGGAAGAGAGAAATAAGGATGAAAATGCGGAACAGGGGGATTTAGAATAAGTGAAATCTGAGCAACACCGTCCTCACTCTCAATAGCTATGCGCGATGCAGCAGATAGGGCGCTGCTGCCTATGATTTGCGAAGACCAGCGCAACAAGACGTTTGAGTAAAGATTGGTTGTAATGGATCAACGAATTTGGCTATTGTGCTATGTGTCATGATTTACAAGCTAACTGCGATACGGCGTGCGTCATCCTCCACTGTCTTGCAAAGTAAAGTCGTCGAAGAGGAACATTGTGACTCTGTGCGACAAGACTTTCAATGACAATAGCGTTTAGAAACTGTTGGGAAGGAGATTTTGCTATGCTTCTGAGTAGAGGAGTTTTGATGTCACTATACCACACCGATCCGCCGCTGTCACCCACAGTTGATTAGCACAAGCTGCTGACTGGCAGCGTAAGTGGCTAGTGTTCAGGTGTTGGGGTTTTCTTTGATCTGACTGATACGCGCTACGGACAAGACTAACAGATTTAACAGCCAACAAGTACTTTCCCGGCCATGTGAAGGAACATCTGCTTTGGAATCTACTGTGATGGAATGCTTACTAAGTCACAATAAAATTCATAACTGACGGGAAATCCACCGGCTCACTGAAATAGAGAATGGTCTGGGTGGTAGAGACATCACCTACCCTCTTAACACGGGGGTGCGACCTGCTTTTGTTGAACTATTGCCAGACATAGTATTTTCGTCGTATGTGTATCTGTTTTTACAAATATATGGGACGGAAATAGGACAATCAGAAAAAATGCGGATTTCCGGATATGAAACAAGGGGAAACATTGCACACGTAGATGAATGTATATTCTTTATGGTAGACGCAAATACACTTCATTTCACTTTCCTGTAGTCGACGTCATGGAAGAGAGTATATGATCGCATATACAAAAACCGCTATACTCAGTGGCGTGCCTTGTAATCTGGGATGGCGGGTTCGAGCGTACGCATGGGACAGGGCAACCCTAGCAGTATGCTCAGCCTAAGACCACTGGTGGTGGTTGCGTGGCAGCGAAGGGTCGATAATGCGCACCGGCTTATGACGATATATTTTATTATATTCACACAGTGACACGTAATTCATCAGTAACGAAATGTCTGCGCCATTATTATAGTAGGTCTTTCTTCGTACTTGCATTCCGTCCGGTATGATTGTAGTCGGACAGCCCGAGGTCCGTTGATTTTGTTTCGGAATCTTGCTTCGATATATGATGTATGGTTACGATATGCCGTTTTGTTATTTTAAACGCATACCACAAAATCGCCAGTGATTTTATTCACCACACAGCACTTCGAAGATCCGTATTCTGTGGATGGAACTCAGGTACATTTTTGAGAAAATGTAAAGAAATCGCATTTAAACCTGTAATATTAAATTCCATTGGGATTGGAATGTGAGGAGAATCTCATGGGTGTTCCCTCTTGAGCGCATCGTTGACCCAGCAAATGATTAGGTACTCTGAAATTCTGAGGAACCTAAAACGGAACATCCGAACAACATGCTGTGCAATCATGTACTTCTTGCGTTTCCTGCACTAGCAAGCCCTAGTGGGCTGGTCACTTGAAGTAGGCAAGATATAGGAAGCAAATGGAAAGTAAAGGTGGAAGGTCAGTTAAGTGAAAGACAACACCAGTAATTAGAGCGAAGCACGGATAAAAAGAGCAAAGTATGAAGAGATGAAAGATGATCAGGAGAAGGTAAGTTTTATGTGTTGATATCTAACCGCAGATTCCGTAACCACATTATCTGGATGTGGGTTCCAGCGCTCGGTAACGCTACACAACAACAGAGTTTCTGACCTAATCCGGTCACAGCGCGGCTTATGTAGCTTCATTTAAAGATTGAGTAGAACAGTCAACCTGGCCAGGCTAACTAGCCAAATCAAGTATGGCCCAACCTTTCCAGTTAATATGTGGTACTTAAGGAGTACGACACCTCGAAGCCTTCAAATGTTCATTGAACGCATCCGAAAAATACGCAAGCGATCGGGAATTTTTACCTCCCGTAACTATCTGTCAACTTAGTATCTACTCGCAGAGCTCACTTGAGCTCCGAGTGAGGCATGGCGAGCATGTATGGATATGATATTCAAGATGGGACCGAATGAAAGACGTAAATAACTACAAAGTTGTCGGCAGTTATGACTCCGAAGGAATGTCGTTTTTACCAAGACATTCGGAAGCCCTACTTTCGGCCCTCTTCCAGTTATCGTCCGAAAGTTGAGGACTGGAGCTTTAAGTCTACTTGGTTGATGACAAGGTGGATTTCGACCCAGATGAGCCGGTACTTCGAAGGTGTGGAAGTAGCTCATACAGATGAAAGAAACACTTAGCAGCAATAATGGGATGAAGTCACATGGTAGTCCAGTCGCAAAACATATCCAGGGCATAGTAAATGACATTAGAACCTCACTGGATCTCTACAACAGCTCACAGTATTATACCACCAGCAAATTATAACGATGATACCCCAAGCTGCTCACAGAGACCGTTTTTATAGACGGAGTGCAGCAGCGGTCCAAGGAAAGATTGCTGTGGAATACCGCTAAGGATCACTTGTCCAAATAGAAAGCTGCGACCAACAGATACAAATTGGTCACTTTCCTGCAAGGATAAATCTAGTCAATGAATGGCGCGTCCAGATACACCTTAAAAGCTCAACATTTATGGTAGCCTTAAGTGGGTACCGTCTAATAGGTGGCCATTGTTCTCTGCATCAGCCCAACTCTCAAGACCTACCAATAAATGCGATAGATAGGAAAATCCCTTCGAACATTCTAGTCATGCACTAAAGATTATATTAAATTTATTCAAGTGACATCCAACGAAGCTCTCACCACCTTTTCAGGCAGTTTGACTACGACGCTAGTCAGGCTGACTGGCCAATACTTGCTCATAGACTCTGTCGCCATTTTTGAAAATAGGACAGATGACGGCCTCCTTTCATTCAAGTGGCTTTGTAACACCGTCTTGAGCGACGCTCTTAGTTTCGCTGCCGAATCATGTAAAACCTTCAGTTAAATTAAATTAAGCCCAGCTGATTAGGTAGGCGCAGTTCTTGTGGCTCCGTAGGGACTTCCAATTATACCACCATAACTTAAGCTAAAAAAGATCCCTTTTGGTCTGTTGAAATCAGTTCAGCACTAGACAACGGGGTCTCGTCTACATACGCCCCTGTGTACTGTTCAACAATTACACAAGCATGTATAAAAACGTTTACGCAGGAATTCATCTGCTGATCAATGCTGCGCCTTTAAATGATCTTGCCTTATATTTTGCATTTTTAGCGCACTCTGTCCTACTTTGACGGCAAGGTTGTCTTTGCAACAAGGAAATGTGCACCCGTTTGTGTAGAAAAGGATAGTGTGGTTCTTGGGCAACGTGCGGTCGTTACGTGTTGCAATGAAGATTTGTGTAATACGGGTAGCCGATCAAAAACTGCTGTTATCATTATACCGGCGACGATGTCAAGTGTTCTGCTCGCATTGCTTACTTAACATACCGGTTATCAAACATCCACTATGGCCCGAGAACCAGATGGATGTCATTATGTTAAAAGGAATTCACTCACGCTGGCTGTCAACTTATGACCATAGTAAAATGACTGCTATTTTATCCTGTTAAATACACACTAGAATTAATTTTTAGTAAATATCGCCTTTGAACATCTTGAATAAAATATCATCTCATGTTCATATTATTCATAAATACACATATATATTTGCAACACCTGACTAATAAACAATTGGCAGGGTACCAGAACATTCGTGTAACAGCAAAAAGGACAAAAGATATCGTCTGGAGAAAGGATATGTAGGTTCGTGTGTTGAGTAAACATAGGACTTCCCGGTTGCGCAATCCGAGAATGAGCGTAGATTTATGTGACCACACCCGGAGACCTTTGTCGTAAACATCTGACACGCATGGAAGCGGAACAATAAATTCATGCCGCTGGAATGTTCAACCAGTTGTGAATGCGTAGACTGCTGACAGCCACTTAACTCAATCACGCGCTTGGTATTCGGTAACAGTCCACACAGAATCCAATAGCCAGCGGGTTTGTTCATCCGCCCACCGCTATGCACTCACCTCTTGCTGCAAAATTAAGTGTTCAGGGACAATATAGACATTCATATTAATTTTGACACAAGGCCGTACGAGCTTCCGTTGTATTTGATGGAGAAACAGGTGACCAGTTCAGAACTCTCCACGCTCTGTGATTGCTGTTGCTTCAACTCGCTTGCAAAGCAAACAGGAGTTTTCCGAATTTATCGTCACATGGCAGGCATTAACCGAGCTACAGACCTTTGGAGTGCCCCAGGGTGAACAGCTGTGCCACGGATAGCCAAATAACTGCACCAAATGGCCGGTAGAGTTGTAGAGTGAGGCCTTTATTTGCACAGTAAAAGGTTGTTTTTGACATAGCTTTACTAACAGGACAAGTAACGAAACGTAAAGAAACGTAAAAGTGCAGAAAGCAGGACGGTTACACGTTGCAATTAAAACCAGCGCCTGTGCTATCCCAATAAGCTCAGTAGGCATATCCGCAACTCCACTTCAGGAGCAGTACCCCAGCTAAGTACGAAGAATAATCGAACCAAAACCATCACATAATCGGAACTGTGTGTGCTGGTTAATGGCACGTCTCTACAGACGTGTTGCCTATTAACTATCAATCGCCAAACGTTTAACCAATCGGTTGTCAGTTGGGCGCACGTGCACGCGAGTGAACGTAGAACCATCAGCCAAGATATCAGCTGATCCTTTTCATGAGCGATTTTACTTGACCTGCGTGTCGAGAGGCAGGTGATGTCGCTTGCTTCCCCGCTTCTTGACACCGGTACCGTATTCCGTTGCCTGAGTTTAAATTTGCGGTCGTCTACGAGCAATGGGGACTTTACTCAGTGTCATCATCATCAACAGTATACATGTTAGCACCTCAGTCACTGAGGCGTGATACATGAAAGAAAAGAACGGAGAAAATGCAACAGATGCAAGCCAGCTGAAATATCGATAACGGATGGGCATCGTTCCGGTAAGCTACCAGCCGGCTACAATGCAGCAAAAAAATTTACTATGCAATATGACATAAGGCTAAGTAGTGAGAACATGGTTGGGAGAAAGAAACTCACAGCACGAACGCCACTGAGGTCGGCTCCTAGCCACATCAGCAAGTGTACCTAGCCAAACGTGTTCATCCTCTTTCAGGCCCCAACCAGGGAGCCGTGAAGCCCCAACTGAGGCCAGCTCCGAACTGAGGACATTCATTCCTCTTGACCAAGTCATCTCTTGGCCACGCTCCTCTTCTTCCATCCACAGCCCCGGCGCTCAAATAACGCACGTCGCGGGAGTCGGAGGGCTAGTATGCGTAACACGTGGCACAGCCATCGGAGCCTGGTGCGTGAAATAACGGTGCTGAGCTGGTTATTTCCTTTTCCTGTACCGTAAACAGGGCGTTGAACACGGTCCTTGGTCCCTCGGTGTTCCCACCGGATGTGAGATAAATTGCGAAGACACCGGTGGTCGAACGTAACTAGTGTCTTTATGTCCGCCAGTCTAAGGGGCCAGGTTTTGCAAGCGTATAGTAGGGTCCAGCTACTACTGCATTCTACACTCTAGACTTCAGGGCGAGAGCGATGTCGCGTCAGCGCCATAAGTGGCGAAAGATTGCAAAAGCGCCTCGAGATTTTTCTATACTGTTTGTAACCTCATCTTCAATCCCACTGGCGCTGATCTAACTACTAACTAGTTGAATTTTTGAACGACTTCTAGCTAATCCCCACCAAGGATCAGTGCAAGAGACGATCCCTGTCAATCTTGCAGGAAAGCTTTGCACTTCCATGGCGCAAAGCAAAGCCAGAAATGACGGACAGCCTGTGTTAATCTGTCCAGTACAGCTGGGCACGTTTGTTAGCTGTCACAGTTTAGGGCAATATCGTCAGCATACTCCAAGTCAATAAGTACTTCTCCTGGGAGCCAACCCACACCTTCTAAGTGGTGTCCTGTGAACACGATTTTCATGACTTCATCAATGGCGAATTTGAAGAGGAAAGGGAACAGTGAGCGACCTTGTCTCACACCGTTGGAGATACAGAAGGGTGACGAGAGCCAGCCATAAACCATCACACTGCCCGAGCTGAGCGCGTATAATGGATAATATTTAGCTATTCTCTGGTACACCTTTCCTAAGTAGACAGTCCCACAATGCAAGCCTATCCACTGAATGGAATGCACCTTTGATGTAGAGGAACAGGACAATAGTGGGTCGCTAATTTTCGTGACGGGGCTCCAACAACTGATGCAGTGTGAAGATGTGGTAAATGTAGCCACGAACTCGACAAAACCCGGCTTGCTGTTCACGAAGCTGGATTTCACGGGTGTCATTCACTCTGTGAAGTATGACAGAGGCAAGCAATTTGGTGGCGATGGAGATCAGACTGATTCCTCTAGGGTTGCCACATTCTGATCGTGAACCTCGCTTGAAAATTAGGACTATGACGGAGCGGCTCCAGTCGGTTGGGACAGTTTCCTGCTCCCACCGTTTCACTAGTAACTCTTGTATGTTATCCACAAGAGCAGGTCTACCGAATTTAATAATAATAGTAATAATAATAATAATACGTAGATTTGTCTTGATGGGATCCATTGTCTCCATAGCGGCACAGAGCAATTGGTACAGAAGTGTTCATGCTCTTGCATTAGTGACATGCATAGGTGGAGTATTAGGATATACGTTTCATGTATTAAGATTCTGGTGGACGGTTGAGGCCAAAGCGTAGTTATGAAAATATTGGTGTTTAGATATTTTTGGGCCCCCTCTTAAAACAGCTCACTGAGGGATTTTCTCATGTGAATATAAAATTATGGTAGTTAAAGCAAGGTAATTGACGAGCCTGCTTCTAAATGTTGCCACATTGTCACCTGACCTGAGTGTTATTGGTAATTTATTCCACAGATAGCTATATCTGACCAGGAAGAAATTAGAGCTGATGCTCGTTCTAGCCTTCAGTATGTTCAATGCAAAATCTTTGTTGCGAATCACTTGAGTTGAGAAATGTTGTACATTAAGTGTAGGCAGGTCAGAAAAAGTGGAAGATAAGCTGGTCCCTCGGCTTTATTTAACTTCAACAGTCCGATCTCACATTAGACTACTGAGCAAGAGAATGGATCCAAAGGGACAGCCCACGGGGAGGGGCGAGCAGTGGCGAGCGATAAAATTGACAATTCCGACTGATTACATTACCATTCAAAGTACTTAGCCCAACGCTCCAAGTGTACTGACAAGTTGTTAAAAGACTGTTCACTCTCGTCATGTATGGTTTCACTAACTCTAGGTCTCCTGCTGCCAGTTCCTCGTATCTGACGGAATAACTTACGATGGTTACCAAGGGCAGCGGTCATTTCCATCTATGATGCATGAGGAGACTACCAGAATTCGCGGTCTCGCTTTTGGCTAGCACGGAGTTTTACCCGGAGTGTTCAGCGAGTCGCATTGTGTTCGCTTCCGGCGAGCATCGATAAGTTCCCGAGACTGCGAAGAGACCTAATGTCCATGTTGACGATTAGACTTAGCACATGAGGATGTGAGTGCTGCTAGTAAGGTCTGGTGAACATGAGATTATTGAGCTTCAATTGTATCCAGTGACCGCTCACTTCATTCGCATGTCAGCGTACTTTGATAGGCATTCCAAACAGCTGGCTTCGCCAATTTGCTGGTGTCATTGGGCTCACAACGTCGTCATGGGCGTCCGCTAAAAGGCATCCGCAGATCAGCACATACAAGTGCATGGTCGGTGTTCACACATGCGCTCCAAATCAAGCGACAGTTTTGGACGCAGCCTCTCCAGCGATACTTGACCGTGATGTCATCGATTTGCATCCATAGCTGATTGGAGGCTGGTGGGCACCAAGTCACTTTCCGGCGGGTGCTGTGTCGGAATTAGTGCTCGCAAGAAATAAGCTAGCGTCCTCGCCCAAAAAAAGTCACCGCTCACTGTTGTCATTATGGGAGCCTACACCATGTTGGCCGTTCAGATGCAGTTTTTCAGTGGATAATTTTTTAACTTGAGCGTTCAGATCCCCAGCCAGCAAAACTGTGTCCGAGCTTCCTCTGTGGCGAAGGAGCCTGTTCAGTTGGCGCTAGAAGCCGTCTTTAGGCGAATCCTGGCTAGAGTTTGCGGGTGCATTGGCAGCGATGATGAACAGACACACGTTAGTCTTGCGCGACTTCGAAGCCTTGAATGAGTCAGCCAATCGGACCGCACACATCCGGCTACTGATTGGGATCCATTCAACCAGAACAGCTTTAGCACGGGGACTCAGGGCAATACAAACACCGGGTTGGCCGATGCTCGAACCTGCATCGGCACCGGATAGGCGCAATAAGAAAGTGCTGGTAGTGTCACCTGAAGTGGATCGCAGCGTGACCACAGAGGTCGGGTCTCGCAGGCGGGTCTCCGATAAGCAGTAGATATCGATCGAGATCGTCTCTAATGTTCGGAAGAGTGTTGCCTGTTGACCAATCTGTAGCGACCTGCGTACAATGAGGCACACCAATCTGAAGGAGGATCGAGGACTCCAAATGGAAGCCAATGAATTGGGCTTGACCGCTTCCTTGGAGGTGCGCTTGCCGACAAAGCAGAAATGATGCCCCGCGTTCACATGTATGTTCAAACCAGAAGCTAACCATCTATCAAAGCTAGGTAAAGGAGGGCCACATATTTGGGG